AGTATGAATCTGGTCAACCTATTAATCGAGTTCTTTAATGGCACTATTAGATACAAGAACGGTAAGTCTTAAAATCCCTGTTACACAAGACCTTGCATAATTTTCATTAGTTTTCAATTCTTTCCAATTATCCCCACGTTTTTAGTCACATTACATAACCCAGCTGAATGGTTCCTCAAATGCCTTCTTTCACCTGTCATTTCCTTGTGGCTCTAAAAACCACTCTTAACTTATGGTGGCCTTGAAATACACTGCTTAAATCTGGTTGAGTGTAATTGACTCAGCCCAAGGTTTTTGTGGTGGTTTTTTTTTTGCCTTAAGTTTGCACTTCCTAAGCACTGCTGGTAGTCAAATGAGCCTGGTGTTAACAAACTTTTCTGACAGCAAATTTAGCTTGAGGATCATCACTGGACTAAGCAAACCTTTCTTTCCTTCAAAGGTCTTTCACACCCCAGTCCAATATTTTCACCATGCTAATTGTTTCTTAGCATATGCTTCTTGAGAACCCAAATACATCAGTTTTGCAAACTGTTTCCATATAAGGTCAGTATTTGTTTAATGAAAGTACTAGCTGTTACTGCAATCATCTACAACCATCCTGGTTCCAACTTTTATTTCAACACATTTTGAAGTTTAAAGTATTCTGTAGCCCTGCTTCCTTTCCTAGCCAAAGTATCTCAATTGTACACTTTTACATTAAAACATGGAGCTAAATAAAGCTACACTGAATAGGCAATACTGTTACAGACCCCCAACATTATGGAGGTATGAGTCACTATTTTGACATTTCCACCTACCAGTTTCTTTCACCCTCAACCTAATGAAAAAAGCAGTTACCAAAATAGTTAAAATGCAGTACCAAAGCTGAATTTTTTACAGGTAAGTTGTAGATTTGGACATGCAAATCTATGAAAGTGTTATGGTGCCTACCTGTACTGGCAAAAATTGATGGCTCTGCTCTTCATGAAGTACTGACTTCACCTGTCTCCAAGCTTACCAGAGGCTAGGTTTAAGTGTTCCATCACTATAAACCTTCCAAGGTAGTCCTTTTTCCACTGTCCCCAACCAAAGTTTCATCACACACACATCCCTCTGACTTCTTTTATGCCTGGTAACTGCCACCATTTAAACACACAGGAAGTGAATTTGGGCAAAGTGACTTTAAAGTCACTTAATAAAAAATATGAGAACAAACCCATTTTATTTACTCTTTAAAATAGATTTTATTTACTTATTTGAGGGGGGGAGAGGGAGAAAAAGATGAGAACCATAGATGTGTGAGAGAAACATTCATTAGTTGGCTCCTTTGCATCTTTACCAGGGACTGAACCTGCAACCCAACCATGTCCCCCAACCCAGAATACTTCGCTTTGCCAGAGGGCCCCCAAACAAGCCACATAGTCAGGGTTGTTATTTATCAGTAAGTTTAAATCCTGGAGGGGTACAGCATCTGGAGGGGGAAAAAGAGCACATTGTCATTAGGTGCATGTTATATACAAATTTACAAATGTTATTAACACAATGTGGGTAAACCTCCCATTGCCCCATTACTCATCTCTGAAAGGCATCCAATGACATATGCAGGTGGGCAAGGAACCAAGTTTTATACCCTTCAGCTTTCAGGTGAATGTGTTTTGATTAAGAACCATTCTGGGAGCACTGAAAGTTCATTTACTTTTGCTTCATTTAATAACAGTAAGCAACTTCCTTTGATAAGAGCCCACAACTGCTCAGCAAGGTTCAAGAGTATGCCATGGCCCTGGCTGGTGTGGCTCAGTGAATTGAGTGATGGCCTGTGAACCAAAGGGTCCCTGGTTCAATTCCCAGTCAGGGTACATCCCTGGGCTGTGGGCCAGGTCTCCAGTTGGGGTATGCAAGAGGCAACCACACATTGATATTTCCCTCCCTCCCTTCCTCCCTCCCTTCCCCTATGTAAAAAGAGTACCCATGACCTCAAGACTATAGCCATGACTATTAAAAACAGATCCTAACTAAAGAAAACGGGAATTATTTTAGAAAACTAGAGGATCTAGAGTCAAAGACTTGAGCCAAAGTCCTGGGACCTAGAAATATGAACATCAGTTTTCTTCTACAAAATAAGACTAACACCACCTATTCTAATAAACTCTCACGATGATGAGGTAGTATTAAGAATTATGTCAGGAAACAAAATATTTTTGATTTTCTAGCAACTACTTCAAGTGCCCAATAAATATTTTTGCCAGAAAGTTATTCACTTAAATACTATTTTCCTCCTACACCACTTTAGCAAAGTCTGAAATCTAAGCACAATTAATTTGAAAATTTTGTATTCCCTTTCTTTCTAATGCCGAGAGTCTAATGTTCCATAATACATTTACACAGAGCCACTAATTTTGCAGCATAATCTTATTGGTGACATTTTATAAACCCAATAGTTCTTAGAGATCAAAGTACAACAACTTTAGCTTAGTTTGACTCAACAGGGTGTCATATTGCTAATAATTGTACTTACTACACGGATTCTGTGTCCAATGGCCTTAGCAGGGAGGTTGCTTCGGAATTTAGCACGAACCATACCACTGTTTCCATGAGCACGAGTTACCTTTCCCCAGATTACTCTGGTTTTGTTTGGTTTACCACCAGGAGTCACTGTGTTGCTGATTTTAAAAGGGAGTAGAACCCAAACAATTAGTACTATAATGTGGTACAAATTCAGAGTCATATCTGGACCAGTGGCTCTCAACTCTAGTTAACCACTTAAATCACCATTTAAAACCCTGAGGGCATCATTCATTCAACAAATACTGGAGTACCATACCTACTATATGCTAGGCACTTTTATAAATTTAATTTTTGGGGAACTTTGTAAAATATAATTTACAGAATATAAATCTCTTTCAGGAGTAATGAAGTATATGGCCTTCAGTTTTATGTTAAGTAAAACATATAGAATTTAAGGTAAGGAGAGCTGCAATATTGAAAAAGAAAAAAAAAAGGAAAGGCATAAAAGTAATTTGAAAATATTTGTGTTTCAAATTTTTTAAATAACTAGAAAGGCCTCCCAGAGAAGGTAACCCTGAAACAAAAACTGAGGAGGTGGTGTTCCTTGCTTGGGAAAAAGCAGAAGAGACCAAGGAGTGAATCCTAGCTGGATTAAGAGTAGAAACAGGAAGCCCTGAATGTCTAAGGTCTTTAATGATGTTGGCTTTTACTAAATGACATGGGACTCAGTTGGGGTTTGAGCAGTGTACATATGACCTGACATAATTTAAAGGATCACTCTGGGTGCAGGAGGAAAGGAGGACAAAGATGAAAGCATGTAGCTAGAGACTTTAATTGGTCTGGAATGGGTTTATGAAACCAGGATAAAGAATCAATGCTCTAGAGACATAACATTTTTAAGTATATATATAAATATAATCTCAAGGAATCGACAAAATAAAGGTATATGAAAAGTGCTTTATATTATCTTAATGAAGCATGACAATACTAGAAACTTACTTCTTTGCTTTGTACACATAAGCACATCTTTTTCCTAGATAGAATTCAGTTTCATCTCGAGCATAAACACCTTCGATTTTAAGAAGAGCCGTGTGCTCCCTCTGGTTCCGGAGACCCCGTTTATAGCCAGCAAAAATGGCCTTGGACCACAGCCTGAAACACAGCAAATATGTATCAACCACAAGCTGTTATCTATTTCGTTTAACTTCAACAACTAGTATGATTTGACTTGTAATGACCCCTACCCAAAAGTTATTTATAGCAAACATCTTATTTTTTCCCCACTAGTTTAAAGCTCACATTTAATTAGGTCTGGGCCTAATACACAAAAAACTACAAGAACAAAGCAATTACATTAAAAACGCGTACCTTCCAGACATATTTGTTGTTGCAGAAGTTCTGTTCCTGGCAGGCTTTAAAACAAAAAGAATCAGTTTAAAGTCTTGCAAAGCCACGTTCGCCACCTGTTCCCTTGTCACTTCTTAAGCCTGTTAGACAAAATCACCTTCTGATAGGCATTTCGAGTTAAGTATGGGGAAACGTAATCATGCTGTAACATCTACGCGAATCGCAGTCTGTCAAGACATCCCAACCTCACAGAATGCCTGATAGCTAGGCAAACTCCAGAATGAAAAGAAAGTGGCAAGACTGTACACTAAACCCCTAGGAAACCCCAAAAGTCAGTTCTAAGAAAATTCATGCCATGAGCACTCCCTCCCCCCGCCCCCCAAAAATCAAGGAGTCAGACGAGCACCGGGAAAACAAGACTCAAAAGGAATTCTCCTTCCCTTCGCTCCCACCCCCTTAAAGCAATGAATGAAAGAAAAGCTCAAGAAACTGTAGACAAGCAAAGCCAGGTAGGAGGGTGAGCAAATAGAACGAACCCAGCCAAAAGCAGCCACTGCCTCAAAGAGGTAAATGCAGACGAAGTGCATCTACTTCACCCCCTTAGGGCCCAGCAAGCAACCATGATTACGGGAGCACCCGTTTTCGGGACGTCAAAGGACCAGCACCATCAGTCCTACATCTCCCTCATCCCATCCTCCCTGTTGCTGGAATTCACAGCAACCAATGCCTGGCACAGCCGTCATGCCACAAAAGTGCCTCGCCGAGATATGTGGTGGAACCCACTCCAGTTATTTACCCCCAAAGTTCAGCAGCAGGAATTCAACTCACCACCGCAGGATTCAAGATGGCGAAAAAGGAAAGTGAGGCCTCCACCGCTTGGCCTTGTGGGATAAACACGTCTCGGCCTCTCCCTCAGTTTAGGCGTCTTCCTCAATCGCCAAAAAGAAAGCCTTAGAAATCGTTTTCTGACTGAAAGAAGCTACATTCAAGAATACGCGTACAATTTTTTCCTAAGTCATTTAATCTTTGTAAGGTGCAGTGTGTATTATTTTGGAAGAGAGTAAGGCAAAAGTGGTAGACAGCTAAAGGACAAGACGTAAAGGACCCACATAGCTACGTTGCTATAGAAACACCTCAGTTCGATTCCTTCGTCGTCGGTTACGGTAGGTGGAAAAAGTGAAGGCGGAGTGGAGGATGCCCCCCGGCTTCGGGTACTCCAGACTTGATTCGCCAACATGGGGTTGTTTTTCCTTCCTACCACACGGGAGTAGTGCGGTCTGAGACTCTCGGATCGTAGCCTGGAAGAGAAAGGCCGGTAGCGCGGAGCGAGGTGCTCTTCTCTCCCCCCCCCCCACCCCCGCTTCCTCAATCCTTCCTTCTACTTGTATATCTTTTTGCAGAAATGACTTAAGTTCTTACCTCTGTCCTTTGTTTGTCCCCGAGATTAAGGGCTCTGAAAAGGACTTACTCCTTAAAAAGAAAAAAAAGATTGATTGATTGATTGATTGATTATTTATTTATTTTTAGAGAGAGAGAGGAAGAGAGGGAGAGGGATTCGTTGCCTCTGTTTCGAGTCCGGAGTCCCGAGTCCCGAGTCCCGAGTCCCGAGTCCCGAGTCCCGAGTCCCGACTGGGGAGCCGAACGGCAACCCGTGCAGGTGCCCTTGACCGGGAATCCAGCGGTGGCCCTGGAAGACGCTAACTAACTGAGCCACACCCGTCAGAGCAAGCCTTATTCTTTACCAGGAAAACGACCAGGCAAACTGTCGGGGCGCCCAACATCATGCCTGAAATGCAGAAATGACTTAAGTTCTTACCTCTATCCATACCATGTAGCGCTGTGCACACACATAATATGTCTTTAGTAATGCCTTTGGGGATGAGCATGATGAGATAGATTAATGGGAGTCGGAGATTTACTTTTCCTAATTATTGAACATTCATTTGGGTTACTAGGATCCATTCATTTATTGAACAGTCTATCGAATGACTCCCGTGTGCCAAACTTTGTTGCTGGCTTGGGAGACAGTGCAGTAAACAAAACAACAAATCTCTGCTCTCGTAGAGCTTGCTTTCTAGTAGGGGAGCAAGACAATCAATAAAGTATTTAGCACGTTAGAAGGTAATGTGAGAAAAGTTTTCTCTATGGGAAAAAATTAAGCAAGAAGGACCAAAAGGAGGCTTTTAGCCCTAACTGGTGAGGCTCAGGTGGTTGGGCATTGTTTAGCTAAGCTAAGTGTCCCTGGTTCGTTCCTGGTCAGGGCACCTGCCTGGGTTGTGGGATTGGTCCCCAGTAGAGGCAACGATCCATGTTTCTCTCCCTTCCCCACTATCTATAAATAAATAAAATCTTTTTAAAAAGAAAAGGAGTCTTTTACTCTGAAATGGGAAGCCACTTGAGAGTTATCTACAGAAGAGTTACTTAGTCTGACTTTTCATTTTAATAGAGGCACTGTGTTGGGTCTGAAGGGAAACAAGGGCCCTAGCATGGAGATCATTTGGAAGCTATTGTAAAGATCTTGAAGAATTATGGGTGTAGACAAATGATCAGTACTGGAATTCTGAATATATTCTAAATGTATTTAAAATACACTTTTACAATACAATCTGTATTTAAAATACACTCTGTATATTAAAATACATTTTAAAATAATATCTGTATCCACTAGATTTGCTGATGGATAAGGAATGAGAAAGAAGAGGTGCAGAGCAATCATTTAAAATTAGATCCTTATAAATACATTAGGATACAGTTTGTATACCTTTATAGCCCACTCCTCCCCATTAATTTTCTCTGTCCCAAAAATATACTAGAAATCCCACTATTAGAGAATGTGCTAGCAATTCCACTATTAAATGTACTAGAAAAGTACTCCTGGGAAGAATAACACATCGTGAGTTTTATTCCTTTGTTCATTCAGCATAGTGCCGGAAACTTAGGATACAATAGTATCATTATTATGGTTCCTGATTTCACTGAACTTAACAGTCTAGTGGGGGAAACTGACATAAACATTACAAATTGTGAAGAGAGCTCTGCAGGAAAGTAAGTACAGTGAGTGCTTGAACAGAGGTGATCCAGCCTGGTGAGTCGGGGAAAGTGTCACTTGCAGAAGTGTCAGTTAAAGTATTTTTCAAACTACAGGTAGTGACTTATTAGTAGATCATGATTATAATCCTGTTTAAGCAAAATATGATAGAATCAAAAGTATCAGAATGTATCACCCATGTTATAGGTAAATTTCATCTATGTGTATATATTCATATATACATATATATATATATATGAGGTCTTTTTAGAAGGTATCCAGCCATGTAATATGAAAAATAGAGACATTTATTAAAGAAGATACAAAATAAAAGAAACATTGTACATGGGACAGTGACACCTCAGACCTCTAAAGTAGAAACCTTAGGACCTCACATAGTTACCTTAATTGCCATCAGCTGCCCTGGCATATTTTCCTGAATCTCATTGACTGTCTGAAATCTCTTCCTTTTCAAAGGTGATTTTAGTTTTGGGAAAAGTTGCAGGGTACCATATCTCTTCTGTAAGGGGGCTGAGTCACCTGGGTGATTTGATGTTTCACCAAAAAACTCTACACAAGACATGATGCATGAGCCAGTGTGTTGTCATGATGAAGCTGCCAATCACCAGTCACCCATAGCTGCAGCCTTCTGAATCATCCAAATAGTTTCAGCAGAGGAATGTCCAAGCCTAACACAAAATTTGGTGCAGATTCATTGGCCTACTCACTCAGTCATTTTGAATGCAATGACCACACAGTACACATGCTCACTCAATGGTATCTACTACTACCACTGACTAGTACAATGACATCATCATTGTTCACACATGCACATTCTAGTCCACTCTCCTTAGCTGCCAGGTTACATTGATGTTGGGCAAACTGTTATTATATTAACAATGGTTGGATTTTTTCTGGACAGACCTTGCATATTGTATATAAAAATGTATGCATGTCATTGTAGGACATTATGTCATTGTTGCCTTGGAAGAGTTGGCAGAGTTGAAGACAGTTTAATAAGGAGCTTGCTTATAAAGGTACAGGCAGGAGTGAAACTATAAGGGATAATGCAGTCTATAGGCACATGGGGAAGAAGTTACCTGAGCCTGTGAGAGAGTAATATGGAGAGGATTGTCTGACAGGAGCTGTGGCCTTAGGTAGAGAAACATAGCCAACCAATGGTGGTCCGGTAGGGTGGGAGCTGCCGGAATAAACACCTGACTTTACAGTCTTATACTGTGGATCTCTTTTGGAATCTCCCATTGATTTATAAGGATCAGTCTCAGAGCACAGACAATGGTGGACAGGGATCTAGAGGGGCAAAAGGCAGATACCTAGCAAAATGCCAATGATTTAAGCTGTCACCTGGTGGGACTTTTGTTTGCCCTGCAGTTCTATATCAATTTTGAATAAGAACTGCAAGGCAAACAAAAGCTTTATTTGGGTTTTTGTTTTTTTTTTTTAGGAATTGTAAGCTGGGAGACACAGACTTTGAGTAGAAACCCCATCAATGTTCTAGGGAGAAAAGGGAGAGTTTGTAAAGACAGAAAGGGGGGGCTTCCAAAGGGATCATACAAGCTGCTTGGAAAAAGTTTGTGATCGGTGCTGGCAAAAATACTGACACTATGATGCTATACATGATTAATTGTTTATGTCTATTGCTAGGTGAAAATTTTATTTTTTAAAGTGTCTTTTATTATGTTATTACAGTTGTTCCATTTTTCTCCCCTTTATTCCCTTCTGCTCTGTACCTCCCCTACCAGCATTCCCCTACCTTAGTTCATGTTTATGGGTCATACATATAAGTTCTTTGGCTTCTCCATTTCTCATACTATTCTTAACCTCCCCCTGCGTATTTTGTACCTACCATTTATGTTTCTTATTCCTTGTACCTTTTCTCCCATTATCCCCCCTCCCTCTCGTAGCTGATAACCCCCCATGTGATCTCCATTTCTGTAATTCTGTTCCTGTCCTAGTTATTTGCTTAGTTTGTTTTTGTTTTTGTTTTTTAGGTTCAGTTTTTGAAAGTTGTGAGTTTGTTGTCATTTTTGACAAAAATTGCAAAGCAGTTCAGTGGAGAAATGATAGCCCTTTCAACAAAGGATGCCCTAGATCCTGAAGATGCTCTTTTATGTTTGTCTTAAAGTGTTATAATATTATATTTTCATTTAAGTCCATGATCCATTTTGAACTAAATTTTGTGTGAAATTTTATTTTTTTAATGGAGAGTTCATTGATTCAGAGTCATACATAGGACCTGTATCAGGATGTAGCTGTTTGTTTTAGCCCAGTTCAAAAGTTCAGTTTTACATAAAGGGAGATGAGTTAACTCAGCTTCCCAGAGGACTTCTGGCTCCCTTTTAGATTGCTCTCTTGACAGTATCAACTTCATTTTGTTGTCTTTCTTTCTTTCTTTTAAGATTTGTGGTTATTTTTAGAGAGAAGAAGGTAGGGAGAAAGAAAGGGAGAGAAACATTAGATTTATATATGCCTCAACTGGGGGCTGGTCCTGCAACCCAGGCATGTGCTGTGACTGGGAATTAAACCTGCGACCTTTCAGTTCACAGGCTGGTACTCAATCCACTGAGCCACACCAACTAGGGCTGTTGTTTTTCTTTTATGTTGAAGAACTGGAGGAAGCCCATTGAGGCTGGAGCCATGACAGCAAGAAAACTACAGTGCCAAATAGATCTGGAGAGAAACAAAGGGGGGGAGCAGATCATGAAGGACTTAAGGGCAAAGTTAAGAATTTTAATTTTTGCACTAAGACAATGGGAAACCATTGATGGGTTCTGCAGAGAGACATGATCAGGTTTTCAATTTTAAAAGATCAGTTTCATTTTTATGTATTTATGTATTTATTTTATTTTTACATTTTTATATTTTCTTTTTTTAAACATTTTATTGATTATGCTATTACAGTTGTCTCATTCCCCCTCTTCACTCCCCTCCACCCTGCACACCCTCTCCCACCCACATTCCCCCACTTCAATTCATGTCCATGTGTCATAAGTTCTTTAGCTTCTAAATTTCCCATACTATTCTTGCCCTCCCCCTGTCTATCTTCTACCTACCATCTATGCTACTTATTCTCTGTACCTTTTCTTCCTCTCCCCTCCTCCCTCTCCCCTGTTGCTAACCCTCCATGTGATCTCCATTTCTGTGTTTCTGTTCCTGTTCTAGTTGATAGCTTAGTTTGTTTTTGTTTTAAGTGTGGTTATTAATAATTGTGAGTTTGCTGTTATCTTACTGTACATGTTTTTTATCTTCTTTTTCTTAGATAAGTCCATTTAACATTTCATAAAATAAGGGCTTGGTGATGATAAACTCCTTTAACTTGACCTTATCTGAGAAGCACTTTATCTGCCCTTCCATTCTAAATGAGAGCTTTGCTGGATAGATTAATCTTGGATGTAGGTCCTTGCCTTTCATGACTTGGAATACTTCTTTCCAGCCCCTTCTTGCCTGCAAGGTCTCTTTTGAGAAACTCCTTTGTAGGTGACTGTCCCCTTATCTCTTGCTGCTTCTAGGATTCTCTCCTTCATTTTTACCTTGGCTAATATAATTATGATGTGCCTTGGTGTGCTCCTCCTTGGGTCCCACTTGTTTGGTACTCTGAGCTTTTTAGACTTCCTGGAAGTCTATTTCCTTTGCCAGATTGGGGAAGTTCTCCTTTATTATTTGTTCAAATAACTTTTCCACTTGTTGCTCTTCCTCTTCCCCTTCTGGTACCCTTATAATTTGGATATTGGAACGTTTAAAGATATCCTGGAGGTTTCTAAGCTTCTCCTCATTTGTTTGAATTCTTGTTTCTCCATTCTTTTCTGTTTGGTTGTTTCTATCTTCCTCCTTCTCCAAACTGTTGATTTGAGTCCCAGTTTCCTTCCCATCACTATGTATGGTTCCCTGTGCATTTTCCTTCATTTCTCTTATCATGGCCTTCATTTTTTCATCTAATTTGTGACCAAATTCAACCAATTCTGTGAGCATCCTGATCACCAGTGCTTTGAACTGTGCATCTGATAGGTTGGCTATCTCTTGGTCGCTTAAAAGTACTGGCTCTGGGGCTTTGATTTGTTCCTCTGTTTGAGCAATTTTGGGGGGCAGGGGGTTAGGTCTGGATGTGCCTGTTACGTATGAGGGGCATAGCCTTAGGTGTTCTCCAGGGTGGGACAACCTAGTCGCTGGGTTGTGATGTTGTATGTGGGGGCGGGGTCCGAGAGGAAACAATGGCGCTTGCCCCTCTCTCTGTTGGGTTTCAGTCCTTCCGCCTCTTCCCCCAAGCTAACTGGACCTTTCTGGTGCTAACTCCCATGTGGGTGGGCTTGTGTACATTCTAGGACCCCATGGGTCTCTCCAGCGCACTCCTGTGAGGCTGGGAGTCTCTTCCTGCGCCTCAACCCCCACAGGTGTTTTCAATCAGTGTCCCAAGGTTCTGTTTCCCAGCGCTGGGTTGCTCGGTCTGTCTCACTGCCCAATTTTGCCTGGTTTATCTGTGTGTGAATGTGGCCTGGACAACTAGGCGCCTTGCGCGCAGTGCCTCGCCTCACAGTCGCCACCTCGCTGGGTCTGCCAGCCGCCTGTGCGCCCAGGGTCCACCCACTGCAGTCTTGCACTTGGGATGCCTTACGTGCTGGGGATGCGTTACCTGTCCGGTGCCACTGCTTTTTGTGCCGCGACCCCTCCGCCGGGCTGCCCAACTCTGCCCCTCCTACCAGTCTGGATGAATGTGTATATTTTAACTCCTTGGTTGTCCGACTTCCATACAGTTCAATTTTCTGTCAGATCTGTTTTTTTTATCTTGTTTCTAAATTGTTGCTGACTTTATTTTGGTTGTGTGAGGAGGCACAGTGTGTCTACCTACGCCTCCATCTTGGCTGAAAGTCGGATCAGTCTCATTTTTAAAAGATCACTTCCAATTTGAAGGTCATTAGAGTAGTTCAAGCAAGAAACAACATGGTCCAGCATGGAGTTGGGGAGTATGGAAATATAAGGTAAAATCTACAGGACTTGGTGATGGTTTATATTGGAGGTTGTTGATGTCAAGATGAAGGAGGAAGCGAGAAGCTAAAACAGGACAAAAGCACTAGATACTGCTTACACATAGCCCTATTTTACCTATGTGAAGAACTTCGACCTATGCCCCAAGCTGAAAAAATGGAAAAATAACACAACAAAAGAAAAGAATCTTATTAACATCATGTTATTTTCTCCTAAGACTGCCCTTGCACCAAAAAATTTGGCTAGTTTGCAGTATGGGTTTTTTTTTTTTTTTTTTCCAATTCACATAAGCATTCTGTTTTATGTTTGAATTTTTGCATATGAAATTTTCATTTTGTAAGACATATTTGTATCACTCTTCTAGGACCATTTTATTGTAGACAAAATCACACTGAAAACTTAACCATTCACTGTTTATTCAGTGTAAGATAAAATTCTCCAGAGAAAATTTAAAGCTCTTTTAAGCAGAAAGGACTTTGGTTTATTGAGGAGTGATAACATCTTTTTTTTTTTTTAGTTTTTTTTTTTATTTTAATCATTGTTCAAATAGTTTTCTCCTTTTTAATCCCAATCCAGCCCCCCTCCCACCCCTCCCCACTTCCCTCCCATTACCACCCTCCCCTTAGTTTATGACCATGTGTCCTTTAAGTTTGTTCCCGTGAACCCTTCCCCTGTTCCCTGAAATTCCCTCTACTCTCTTCTTTATTTTTTTTTTAAGACTTTATTCATTTATGTTTAGAGAGGGCAAGGGAGGGAGAAAGAGAGGGAGAGAAACATCAATGTGTGGTTGCCTCTTACGCATTCTCTACTGGTGACCTGGCCTGCAGCCTAGGCATGTGTCCTGACTAGAAATCAAACCAGTGACCCTCTGGTTCTCAGGCTGGCACTCAGTCCACTGAGCTACATGACCAGGCCCAAGGAGTGGTAATATCTTGATAGATATATTAAACTGATTTTCAGGATAAATATGTTTTTCTAGGTGCAATCTGAAATGTTCTTTAAGTCCAGCTGGAGTAAATTCTGTTATGGACAGATCAGGAGAAAGAGTAATCTAATTAAATATTTTAGAAATCAGTACAACAGAAAAGTAAATCCATTACATAGAGATTACCAATTTTAAAAAATCAGAATATAATAAAAATATGAAAACTATGTTGGATATTAATTTCCCTTAAAAAGAGACTCACAGATTGCATTTATCTACTAATAATTAAGCTAGTAACTTAATGGAACTGCACTAGATGATGATTCTTCCATCTCTAAGACTTTTCTAATAAGCAAAAAAAACATAAGCCACAGCTCTTGTAATTCTTTAGTTTTCTCTGAATGAAAGAGTATAAAAATTACTTAAATGTCATGCAGTACTGAAGCTAATGTCGATGTTTTCTTCTTATTTTAGGTTATTTCATTTTTGTGAGATTATAAATGTACCTTGGACATTAACAAAACTAAGTTAAGAAGAATGGAAGAGTATGTTCAAAATTTCAATTTATTTTGTGTGTATTTATTTAAATTATCCTGTATGTTAAATTTCTGTGTATTACTTATCTAATGATGTGTAACAAATTACCCTAACACTTATCTACTTAAAATATAAACATTTATTATTTAAGAGTTTCTGTAGGTCAAAGATTTGGGAGCAGTTTAGATGATGGTTCTAGAGTGGGGTCTCTCATAAGGTTAAAGCTGGCCAGGGCTGCAGTTATCTGGATACTTGGAGCAGGAGGATTCACTGCCAAGATGCCTCATTTATAGAGCTGGCATGTTGCCTGGCTTTTGGCAAGAGGCCTTTGTTCCTTACCCTCATGACCCTATCCATAGCACTTCCTCTTGACAAGACAGCTGGTTTTTCACAGAGAGAGAGATATGAGAGAGTAAGGTAGAAGCTGCAATGTCTTTTACCACGTAGCCTTGGCACCCACAATATCAGTTTCATTACATAGGTTAGTCCTCTGTGGTGGAGACTGCAAAGGACATGAAGATGAGAATCATGTGGGCCACCTTGGAGACTAGCTAGCACAGTCTGTTTTTCACTAATCACGAGATACTTGGTTGGCATCTAAAGATATTGCTAGGAAAAAAGTCGATTTTGGTTTAAATTCAAATTGGTTAAGCATAGCCAAATTTCATGGATTACATTACTTTATCAAACAATAAGTAGCTTGCCTATGGATGGTCAAAATGTCACTGAGAAATATTTAGCAGAATCACATGCAAACTCCTACTTTTGTTCTTTATCTTGGTTGTAACATACAACAATACTGATTTCACAGGAGCCAATGTACATGCTGCCTGTGCTTTAAAACATTTAAGTAATTTTAAAACATTTGGTGGCTGACTTATTTTTTCTTTATTCTTTCTGCAGAGGCCAACTGGGAGCCTCAAGTCTTCCTCTAAAAACTCGATATTCTGAGGTGACTGTGTCAGTGACAGGCGAACCACCTAGTGTTGTAGAAGAGGAAGAAACAGCCAAAGAAGCAGACATAGATACCATCCCAGAAGTCATAGAGCCACTGTCCATTCTAGATATGCTGAGGATCTCTGCAGTTCTGGAGGATACCACAGACCAGCTCTCTATTCTAAACTATATTATGCCAGTTCAGTATGAAAGAAGACAAAGTACCCTCATGGTATATATATGCTCACTATTATTTAATCTCTTTTTTTCTTTTTCCATCATTTATAGTACCTCTGTCATTAAGTTTAACTTGGGAAATAGCATCTTTATCTCAGATAAAAGGCTATAATAATTACCTAACATGTGGGCTCTAAGTTGATGGAGTGAAATAGCCATAGCTCAAGGTATGTTACCAATCATAATGTCCTTGTCTTTTAATATGATGACACTATTCAAAAGGCCTATAGCTAAATCATGATAAATACAGTATATGCTCTGAGGTCAAATTACTGAATTATCTGTTTATATTTTTCAGTTGTTAAAAGCTCACTCTGACACTAGCAGGAAGAAATTGAACTACTGGACCTTCTAAACATTGCTTTAATTAGAAATTACTTTGTTGTTGTCGTAGAATATGTTGCAATCTACTTTTTGAATATCCGTCACAACACTGTGTCAGCCATTACATTTTCAGTGATGTTATGGACTTCTCAAAGCACTTACTGAGTTACCAAAAAACTCAACTTGTGTGAAAAGCTTTATAAATTCTTAAATGTTTATTAATTTTAATAACTTAGGTTATAGATATAAAATAAAACATTTAAATACAAATACATATTTATTGGTAGCTGGAGATTGTTGGAGAAAGCGGCAGCTGCCCCAGCAGAGGTGACCACAACGATGGAGCTGTCTCACGGAGCCAGGACCAGCGGGAGCGCATTACCCACTGGCGCTGCGGTGACCACTCACGTTCCGCCAGCTCGTTGCCTGTTTCCCTGCACTGCTGTGGCCTGCGCGGAACCATGGCTCTGCTCCTAGTGCTTCTGTCCTTGGTGGCCGGTGTGTTGGGGAATGAGTTTAGTATACTAAGATCACCAGAGTATGTTGTTTTCCGCAACGGAAATTGGCCTATACCAGGAGAGCGAATCCCAGATGTCACTGCATTAGCCATGGGCTTCTCTGTGAAAGAAGACCTTTCTTGGCCTGGACTTGCGGTTGGTAACCTATTCCGTCGTCCTCAAGCTACCATTCTGGTGACAGTGAAGGGAATGGCCAAACTCACTCTACCTCCAAGCAGTGCCATTTCGTATCCTTTGGAGGATGAAGTTCCTTTTAGTCTGGACAGTGTTGCAGATTCCATTCACTCCTTATTTTCTGAAGAAACACCTATAGTTTTGCAGTTGGCTCCCAGTGAGGAAAGAGTATATATGACGGGGAAGGCAAATTCCGTTTTTGAAGATCTTTCAGTCACATTAGCACAGCTCCACAATCGCCTGTTTCAAGAAAACTCTGTTCTTAATTCACTTCCCCTCAGTTCCCTAAGTGGGAACAATGAGGTTGATCTGCTCTTTTTTTCTGAACTGCAAGTTCTATGTGATATTTCAGGTTTGTTGTCTCAACATAAGCATCTAGCCAAGGATCATTCTCCTGATTTATATACACTGGAACTGGCAGGTTTGGATGAAATTGGGAAACATTATGGAGAAGGTTCTGAACAATTCAGAGATGCTTCTAAGGTCCTTCTTGATATTCTGCAAAAGTTTGCAGATGACATGTATAATCTTTATGATGGGAATGCATTGGTAGAGCTAGTGACTGTCAGATCATTTGACACATCCTTTGTGAGGAAGACAAGGACTATCCTTGAGGCAAAACAAGAAGAGAGCTCACCAAGTCCTTATAAACTTGCATATAAGTATAATTTTGAGTATCCAGTGATTTTCAACATGATACTTTGGATCATGATCACCTTGGCTTTGGCTGTGATTATCGTCTCTTACAATATTTGGAACATGGATCCTGGATATGATAGCATCATTTATAGGATGACAAAACAGAAGATGCAAATAGATTGAACTTTCCTAATGCCAAAATTAGTAAAGGGTTTTGAAAATTAGTTGTTTTGTGAAAATAAATTGTTTAAGTGTAATTTCAAGTAGATAGTATACTTTAAATTTTTTAAAAAACAAATTTTGTTTTCTATTTTGTATGTGCCTGTGGAGTTGTTTTTGAGTAAAGTATGGTATTGACATGAATTGATTTATGTGATAGATTCCATAATCTGCTAAATATAATATAACCATTAATTACAATTTCATTCCATTTAGTATTTGAAAATAATGCACTGATATAAATGTAAAACACTTAGAATACCTTGTGTTACTTATGTTGAGAAAATGCACTTAATTTATTAGAGAAACTTATGAATGCTTAACTCCCTTACACAGGATAGGTGAAAATGATATTTGGGTTGTCATATCTATGAACCATTGTAATTGTCTTAATTTGATGTAAATATCTCTGAAACAAGAGAAAAGGTTTTTGACTTTAGAGCAGCCCTAAACTATGAAAGTGCATATACAGTCGCTTTGGTTTCGAATTACATCTAATTAACAGAGGACAGCTGTTTTTTAACCTCTTCTGAAAGTTTAGTAATCTGAATGATCTAGTATGGATATTAAAAGTACTACATGGATCTAAGAAGAAAGTAGCTTTGTGGAGTTATAAATTCTCATACACACAAAAACAAATATTTGGGGGAACATCTTAGAGCATGAATATAAAAATCTTTTTATTTCAGTAACTTTTTCCTCTGTGTAAGTTACTGTGGTTTGTGTCATTGTAGACTATGGACAGCGTCATTGTAGAATATTAAGTGTAAGTAGATGCTCCCTACTTTTCATGTGGAAGTGCACCAATGTCTATAAAGAGTGACAAAGTTAATGATTTCCCCAAAGCCCCCAAATACATATTTATTAAGTTTAGCAAATTACCTTATGTAATTTGTACAGAGAGTATTCTTATTTCTGATTCTATGACGTGTGAAAATTGCTACATTAATGAGGGTAAATTGCTTTCTATGTCTAACAGAAAAGAAGTATATATTTGTTGTGACTAGATAATTAAATTTCCCTTTAATTGCTCCTGAGGATTTAAAAATGATTGTTGTTATTTGTATAATCTGGGTTTACAAAGTTTTAAAAAAATTTTCCAAGTTCATACAAGATTTTAATAGAACACTGGATTTGGAGTCAGGAGGCCTTTGCAGTTTAGTTGTGTGCTATGAGTGATTCATTTTAGTGTCTTGGTCTTAGTTTTCTCACTTGTAAAATATGATGAAATTTCAACTAAATGATCTATATGATCACTTCCAATGCTAACATTCTGAGTTTTGGAGTAATTTTAAAATGACCTTAATGGATATTGTAGGAACTTCACAGCAAATTAATTTCCTTATCAATTTATGAATGGTAAAGAGATTGGAGGCCCAAGAACTCAGCCTTTCAATGCATTTAAAATAATACTCTAATTAATAAATTAAGATAATTAACATATAGTACATAAGAAACTAGTGTTTCCTTCTTATTTATTGTCTCCTTCAGTAAGGATCCAAAATAAAAAGAGAAGATACTCAGTTAACAAGATGAAGTCTTATAATACTTATCAATGTTAATTTCAGTCATAAAAAATGGTAATTTGCCACTATAGAAATTTAAGAAAGAATGAAAAACATAAATTTATAAACAGTGCTTGGCTGCGCTCACCACTCCAATAAGTAAAAGAACAAAACTTTTGTACTGTTTTATTCTTTTTAATGATGGTATTTAGTCACAAAATTTTCTCACTTAAGTAGAGGTTCTGCTTATGATTTTATAGAAGTATAAATAATAAAGACTTGCTCTCTTACCTTGATTAACAGCATCCTAAAACCTCTTTCTCAGTGCAAGTTAGTTCCATAATTTAACAAAATTGTGGATCTCTTAAGATGACTTTTTTGTTTTTACTTCATAGTACTATAGTTCTAATGCATTAATTTTACTGTGCCATTAAACTGTATGGCATAGGATATACATTTTAAAACCTTAGTATGTATGTGGATTTTTTTTTCCAAAGGTTTTATATTGTTTAGCCTTAGAATAACTTTGGGATGAAAGGTTGGTTAGCATTATTCCTTTTTTTACAGCCATTTTTATAGCTAAAGACATCAAGTAGATTTTCATTTGTTACAATCATGAAATGGAATAACGAAACTATACTAATATACCAGATATCAGAAGTGGGAGTAATTGGACCTAAGTTTGGAAAAAGACTCCTCGAAGGAAATACCGTTTTCTTATCTCTTAGAATTTAATACCTTATATTGTACATAGTGCATGTTATATAAAAATCTTTTTTAGTGGCTGGACTAGATAGAACATTTAGTTTCTTTAAAGTTTTCTTCTAAAAATTCATATTTATTTCTAGTAATCAGTAAATCAGTTTGACACATTTGCTTCCTTTTCCAGATGCCTAAGCATAGGGGTAAAGGAAAAATAGGGCAGTCAAAAAAACAGAGCTTCCTAGGTCTTACATTTCCCCTTTCTTTCCTAGACAAACGAATCTAAAATCACCATCTGTATATTGGAAATTCTCCTTATGTCCAGATAAATTTCAGTCTAATTGCTGAAATTCTATTGCTTCTCTTTATAGTCAATCAAATCAATGTTAATTTAAAGGAATATTTAAAAATTTAATTTCTTTTAAATTTTATTTATTTTTAGAGAGAGGGGAAGGGAAGGAGAGGGAGAGAAACATCAATGTGTGGTTACCTCTCATGTGCCCCTGCTAGGGACCTGGCCCGCAACCCAGGCATATACTTTAACTGGGAATGGAACTGGTGACCCTTTGGTTCGCAGGCCCTCACTCAATCCACTGACCCACACCAGCCAGGGCTGAAATTTAATTCTTATTTAAGGCAGCAATTAGTTTTATCCTTGCCTATAGCTATTTTCCTCAGATCTGAATCTCTGTTTATTGTTTATATAAGAAGAGTGATGTTGAGTCTGTATTTATTAACCTTTTAAAAAATATATTTTATTTATTTTTAGAGAGGGAAAGGGAGATAGAAAGAGAGAAAGAGAAACATCAATGTGTGGTTGCTTCTTATGTGCCCCCTGCTGGGGGACCTGGCTCACAACCCAGGCATATACCCTGACTGGGAATCAAAGGGCGACCCTTTGTTTCACAGGATGGCACGCAATCCACTGAGGCACACTAGCCATGGCTGTATTTACTAATCTTTTAAGGATATTAAAAAAATTTTCTAGGCTAGTTGAAATTTTGCTAAGGAAGGCCTAGGCTTTGTGTATTGATATGCAGACAAACCTTTCTTTGCATGGGATCAGTACAAGAATTTAAGTAAATCATAACAAATGCAGGACTTACATAGTTCTGTGTATTCTAAATCCTTTATGTATGTTAATTTATTGTACCTTCATAAGAACTCTATGAGGGCCTATGCTATTCTTAGACCAATTTTACCAATGAGAAAATGGAAGCATAGGGGTGCTAAATAGTTGCCTGAAATCAATACAGTTTAGTAAGAGATAGAGCCAATATTCAAACAAGCAAGTCTAGTTTCAGAGTGCATATGCATATTCACTATGTTGTATGGCTTTTCCATAGCTTAAGATTTTAGCCACAGATTAAATAGGAATAATGAATAAAAAGACATATGCTGTTCCTATGGTAATGCTTGCTCCTTAGTATTCAAGTTTGCATCTAAAAAATAAATTATTTTGACCCCAGGCCAGGTAGCTCAGATGGTTAGAATGTTGTCTGGATAGGCCAAGGTAGTGGTTTCCATCCCTAGTCAGTACACATATAAGAATCAACCAGTGGGTTCCGACCAAGATGGAGGTATAGGTAGAAACCCTTCAGTTCCTCACTCAACCAAAAAGAGGATAACAACCAGTCTAAAATCAATAAACAACCAGAAATGCCAGAAAATCAAACTGCATGGAGCGCTAACAACCAAGAAATTAAAAGTCTACCAGAACAACCAGACTTGTGGGCGAGGAGGTGGACTGTGCAGGTGGGGCCAGCTGAGGAAAACTGTGATGATGCGGGCAGGGCTGGCTGAAGACGAACATGAGACTCGGAGCTGACTAAGGACTATGACGGTTGCCACAGTGAGAGAAACTCCCAGTCTCACATGAGAGTTTGTTGGAAAGTGGGCTGTGTTGTTCCCTTTCTGGCCCCTCCCCAATAGGCAGCCCTGCAGTGCAGCAAGAAGGGCTGCTGTACGCTGGTGAATACCTAAGGCCCCACTCTTACAACTTAACAGGTGTGCTGAGACAAAGAAATAGGGCCCAAATGAAAGAACAGAGCAAAACTCCAGAAAGAGAGCTAAGCAATTGGGGATAGCCAACCTATCTGATGGAGAATTTAAAGTCCTGGTAATCAAAATGCTCACAGAGCTGATTAAACTTGGTGGAATTTTTTTTTTTAAGATTTTATTTATTTTTAGAGATGGGAAGGGAGGGAGAAAGAGAGAGAAACATCAATGTGTGGTTGCTTCTCATGTGGTCCCCACTGGGGACCTGGCCTGCAACCCAGGCATGTGACCTGACTGGCAATCGAACCTGTGATGCTTTGGTTCACAGCCCATGCCCAATCCACTGAGCTATGCCTGTCAGGGCAAACTTGGTGGAAAAATTTAAAAAATGAAAGATACCCAAAATAAAATAAAGCAAAATATTCAGGGAATCAACCGTGACAAGAAAGAAAACAGGACTTAAAGCAATGATTTGGAATAAAAAGGGAAAATAGAAATCCAACTGGAACATATTTACATATGTTCAACTATCAACTCACAACTATCAACAAATGAACCTAAAAGAAAAGACAAACAATGAAAACAAAAACTAAGCAAACAGCCAGAACAGAAACAGAATCAGGGAAGAGGACATCACACAGAGGGAGTTCAGTGGAAGAACTTCAGAGGAGGAAGGGAGGAATAGCAGGGGGAAAAGGTACAGGGAAGAAGAAGCATAATTAGTAGTCATTAGATGGGGAGAGAGAAAAAATGGTATAGGAAACAGAGGACTCAGAATTTATATGTAAAACCCATGGACATGAACTAAGGTGGGAATGCTGGAGTGTTGGGGGGTGCAGGGCAGAGGAGAGATAAAAGAAGAAAATTGGGAAAATTGTAATAGCATAATCAATAAAAATGTTTTTAAAAAAGAATCAACCAATGAAGGTATGAATAACTGGAACAATAAATCGATGTTTCTCCCTATGTCTAAAATCAATAAATAAAAAATTTTAAAAGATTTATTTATTCATATTTATTTTTAGAGAGGGAAGGGAGGGAGAAAGAGAGAGAAAGAGAAACATCAATGTGTGGTTGCTGGGGGCCATGGCCTGCAACCCAGGCATGTGCCCTGACTGAGAATCGAACCTGCGATACTTTGGTTCGCAGCCCACGCTCAATCCACTGAGCTACACCAGCCAGGGCTAAGAAATAAAATTTTAAAAAAATTAAATTATTTTGGCTTTTCCCCACATGACCTTTGAAATATATACCACTAAATGTACTATCAACTTCTGCTTTTTTGTATAAATTCATTCTTTATATTTCAAATTCATATGTGTTCATTGAACATTTAAGTCTGCTATACCCTACGTATTGGTCTAAGTAATGGAGTTATAAAGATGGCCAGTTATTTAATATCCAATCTTATACCAAAAATAATTTAAAGTGAACCAATATCTCTAAGATACTTTTGTTTCTGTAATAGAATTTACAATCTAATGGAGATATTTATACAAATTACAATATGGTAAGTGGTTTCTAATAGATTTTATGATGAATTTTATCTTTGGTTATAGTCTGAAAGTTTACCAGGTGATAAGTTGGGAATGTTTTCTAAAGTCACGAAGATACAAACAGCAGGACATGTGGTTTGGTGTGGCTGAAGAAAAGGGTAATTTTCTTCTAGTATAGAGTACAAGTGGGAAAAAATGAGGTTGGAAAATGTGGGGAGAGACCCTCTTATAGCTTTGTTTTTTTAACTCTAAAATCTGTCTTACATAAATCATTTATTGTTTTTAGAAGAAAAACAATGAAATGAATTTAGAAGAAAAAAGTATGGAAAAATCTCCAGTGGTCTCAAGAACCTCAAAAATAACCAGTGCATTCTTGCCTAAAGAAGAACCCAAGTTGCCAGAAATCAGACAAGGAGGTCAATTTGCCAACGGATTTAACAAAATGCAGGATTTTGTCCTCCAAAAACCTACAAAGCAGACCATAACTACTACAGAGACACTGAAGAAAATTCAAATTGATAGGTAAGAAAGGAGAACATATTTGGAATTGTAACAATGTATTTTTAGATGGATAAAGAGTGGGTGGGTGCAAGGGTGGCTGGCTGTTTTCTCATAGATTGGTCCTTAATCCAAAGTGGCTGCCGATGTTATGGTTAACTAACCACTGCCTAGAGGAAGTGTGATGCAATTGAAAGTAAGGGAGCAAGTATTGAGAAAATAATAGCAACTTTGCAACATTATTGTGGTACAAATTGGTAGCTATTGTGATGATTTATCCATAAATAAGAGACAGTCATTATCAAGGTAGACAAATTTAAAGCTATGTTTTAATCCTGATTTTTTAAAAAAATGTTTATACTGTTACAGCTGTCTCAGTTTCCCCCCTTGTCCCCCTCCTCCCATTCACACAGTCAGGCCTCACACTGTTGTTCATGTCCATGGGTCATGTATATATGTTCTTGGTCTAATCCCTTCACCTTCTTCCAACCAGTCCCCACCTTCCCTCTCCCCTCTTATAGCTGTCAAGTCTGTCCTATGTTTCTGTGCCTCTGAATCTACTTATTAATTTATTTTGTTCATTAGATTCCAGTTTTATGTGTGATCATATGGTATTTGTCTTTCATTGACTGGCTTATTTCAGTTACAATCCTGATGGTTTTTTAAACACAGTCTTGTCCTGACTGTAGTGACTGGGCTCAGTGGGTTGGGCATCATCCTGCAAAATGAAAACATCACCGATTCTGGGCCACATCCCTGG